TTTGCTGAAGATAGAGCAAGAGAAGTAGACTTATTCAAGGAAGTCTGCAGTCCACTCAATCCTCGCCTATCAGCTGTTTGTCAGGTAAAATCCATCTCAGTGTTTTTGCCTAATGTGGGTGTACTGTCCTGTCTTAGCATGTGTTTAGCATAGAAGCTGTACATCTCTTCAGCTTGTAGACTGCAGGCAACAGAGGTGCATAGACAGCATACCATTTAGCTTAGAGAAGTTTCACTGACTGTGAAAACGAGAAATGGTTTGCACTGAATCAGGGGTATTGTAAGGGGGTGTTTTAGTGTATTTCTGTTAAATGTGATTGTGTTTCCCCTTCTATGCTTGGCCATCTTCAGGACTAATACAGGTATTATATTCCCCTTGTGCATGTTTTATTTGCCATTTGTGTTGCCATGAATGAAACCTTTGAAAATTCGAAAAATCAGAACAAAAGACACATTTGACAGCTTTTATAATATTTACATATCATAGTATCATAAACTAAGTGTTGTTCCTACTCTTCAACTGATGATTGAGAAGGATTTTTGAAATGATTAAAATATATGGCATCACATTCAGCAACAGTACCATGCAATAGTCTTGAGCCACCCCTCATTTCTTTATATTTTGCTTCCAAGTAGCCGGTAATAGTTCTCCAGGCTTTCTGATGGTCTTTCAAAGGTTTTCATTGGTTGCTTTACTTTATTTTTTAATTTTCTGTCTGGCCCTTGTACCTTACCATTATCAGAGGCTTTTTTTTCTTCTTTTGTTTGTTAAGCCACTTAACTCTGTCCTGTGAATCAAGCATAAAATTCAATTCAAGCGTAAAAAAACATCTAACTTAGGGGATCAAACAGTTTTGCAACATAACAAACTAGTCACTAATGAACCGTTTATAAATTGTAACTTTAGGCGCTTTGTTACTTGCAGCCTGAAACAAAAACAAATGTCAAATATAACTCAGTGTGACAGGCTTAAAATAGTATTTTTGTATCAACAATGTGGTTTCCAAAGAGCCATTACTCAAATCTTGGTATATCTACGCATGGTGTGCAGCATGTCCTTAAAAAATCGGAGGAAATTGGCAGGCCTCAAAACTATCTGAAAGTCCTTTTCTTGGGAAATAGGAAAGTAATACAGCAAAGCCCTGACACAGAACCTGAGTGATGTAACTGGCCCCTTAAATGATCCATCGACTGTTCACTGAAACCTGAAATGGTCCCAGTGGAAGGGTGGCTTTCAAGAACCCGTTCCTACGGAAGGCAAGAGAGAAACAGAGAGAAAAAGCTGGTATGCCAAATTAAACAAGAACTGGTGTGAAAGTTCTGATAGAGTGATGAATCTAAATTTCACATTTTTAGTTCAAACTGTTTTTCATATGTAGAGGTTAGGAGAGATCTATAGCAATGAGTGTCCCTAGCCAACTGTAGAATCCGGTGGAGTCTATATTGTAGTTTGGACTGCATTTTAGTCAGTGGTGTTGGGGATCTTGTCAAAACTGATGGAATTATAAACACAGAGAGGTACTTTTAGATTTTGGTGTGCCATATAAAACCATCTGTACAACGTCTGATTGTCCACAGCTTCATTTTCCAGCAGGACAGCTGAATCTCAAACACACTGCTAATGCAGTAAAAACATACCTGGATAGAAAAACACACATTGCAGCACTATCAGTTATGGATTGGCCTCCCCAGCACTCGGACATCAGCGTTATTGAAGCAGTCTGAAATCATCTGCATGGTGAACAGAACAAACAGCAGTCAACATCCAAAGAAGAGCTTTGAATTTCCTGTTGAAAACTATTCCAGAAAACGACTAAAAGAGATGAGAACAACGCTTGTCTAAGACCTACTGTTATGAAGAATAAAGCTGGTCATACAAAATATGGACTTTAGACATTTCAGGATTGTATAAGCTGTTTTTGATTTGTATACTGCATTTCCATTTATTTTTGCACTTTTCCATAAATTGTAGCAAAATTTCAAGTAAAATATAAAGAAATGAGATGTGGCATCTTAAATGAGATGAAAACATCTCAGGATGTTTTAGCTAGTGTAACCTGATATTAGATCATAAAGATCTTGTATTTAAAAAAAAATCTTGGACTGAATTTCATGGGGGGTGGATTAAAAGAAAAATCAAGCTTTTTTTGTCTTTACAGTTGTTGCTGATGATAATTACATGAACATCATTAGTCTGAAAGGATGCACCAATCATTAAATAATACTTAGCAAACTTTTCCCCCCTAATAAAGATAGGGGGCAGATTTGTTTCTAAGGGTTACAGAGATAAATGTTTCTCAGTTTAGGATTTGAGGATGACAGGCTCATAGCTGGCTCGTCGTACAGACCTGCAGGGCAATAGTTGATCTAGTGGGCAATGTTTTACTATCCAGATGGCTGTGTCAGAGTAATTCTCCTTAGAAGGGCTCGCCACTAATCCTCCAGAGAATCTGCACTGGCTTGATCTCGTGTTTGTATGTGAAACCAAACAGCTAGCCTACTGTAGCTCCCTGGCTGTGAAAATGCTGAAGTTCTCATTGTAAATACCGTTGTATTGTGTAAATTAGAGCACAAGTTATAGGTTTACTGGGAGGACACAGCTATCCACACTGTGAGCCTTTCTAAGGAGCAGAAAGCAAAGAGTCCACAGCTTTGCTGGGTGCTCACCATGCACTGAGAGGTTTCTGTAGGACAGAACAGGAAGGGATGAGATAATCAACAGAAGAGAGAGTGCTAGGAGAGAGAGAGAGAGATACAGGCACCATAGATTGAGTCAGGCTGATTAGGTGCAGATTCAAGTCATAAGATTGTCTTAATCTCAATGCTGGATCTATTTCTGCAACATGGGACCTTTGACAATCAGGTACACTTTTCAAGCGTTTAATATGCCTTCAGAGCTATAGAAAACCTAATTGCTGTTTACTGTAGTTTTTCTTATTGCGATCTTAGTCTTAATGGTGAGCCACACAAATTTAAATGTCTTAGAAGCAAGAAAAACTTTGACATTAAACTACACAGAGACAAAACCAGCCTTTTAGTAGTCTGTTACAGGGCCATGAGATAAAAAAGGTTGAACGCTTTAGGCACAAATGAAGGTGACTTTAACAGAGTGTGAGTAATTGTTGCGGTGTCGATGCTGTGAGGGGATGGGCTGTGTATGGTCTTTTTTCCCCATGGCTGGTCTGGATGACTCATAGGTGCAAAGGAATCAGCTGTGTCACCTTCACTGATGAGCAGACTCAATGAAACAGGGTTGTGTAAAAACCTAGTTTACCTATGCATATAAAAGCATGAACTCATTTTCTTTTCTTTTTTAAGTGCATCCATGTGCAAATGTAGTGGATGTAGCTCATAAAATAAACATGTGGCTGTGATGTGAAATAATGCATGGGCTTTAAAGCAGTTTCTGATGCACTGAACTTCTCCGTGTTTCATCGTGCATGCTCCTCTGGACTGCTTTGCTGCTGGATCAATGCTGCTTTGCCAATGGTGAGTCCACTGAAGCACACACTCCACCCGCCTCTTAGTTATCTAACTGGGAAATCCAGTCATCTTTTCCTGTTGAGAGAGTTTTTGTCACACTATTTTCACCAGTTACTAATATTTCAATCATTCAGCTTTATCTTTTAGTTGTTTAAAATCTGCTATAAATCACTGTTGTCTTTGTGTGGCTGTTTACTCCTCTTTTTGTAGATGTCAAATCTGCATGCTGCCTTACTCTATAAGCCAATTACTTGAGCTTTGTTAATCTGGGTGTGCGCGTTGGTGTTTATTTACGGGTGTGTTTAGCAGCAGCCGTGCTTCATGTTATGCAATGACCCCCCCCCCCCGAATTGGAAATAAACTGCTTATGAAAGTGAAATGGAGGCTAAAAACTAATGCGCTTGATGTCACTTCTGTAGGATGGGTTAGAAATCATGAGGAACTATAATTAGAAATAAACTAAACAAACCCCAAGGCTAAGCATGTTAATAATAAATGTATAACTTAAAAATATAGTCTGTATAAATAGTTTGCCACAGAAAAACATGTCTTGACCAACTCACATGCAAGATTTTAGAAACAATATTGAACCCGTATTGCATCATCTTATTCTTTTGGCTGCTTCCTTCAGGGGTTGCCAAAGTTGATAGTCTCCCTCCATCATACCTCTCTCTAGCATCCTCTTCTGCCACACCAACCCTCTGCATGTCCTGTATCACTACTTCTATGAACCTACTCAGAGGTCTTCTTCTTTTTCTCCTGCCCGACAGCTCCATCATCGATATATTTTGTCAAACATATACCACCATCACGAAACTATACATCATAGCAGGTCTCACTATTCCTTTGTAAACTTTCTTTTACTCTTGCTGCTATCCTTTTTTCACAAATCACCCCTGAGACTGATCTCCACCCACTCCACTCTCTTTCTCCCCTGTCGTGCACTGTCTTGTTGCTTTGCATGGTTGACTCAAGGTCTTTAAACTCATCTGCCTTCACTACCACTACTACTTGCATGTGCAGGTTTTTCCTGTGTCCTTGAGGTGTGACTACTCATATGTGCTCCACGTGTAGTTAAGTCTAAAAAATATGCATTACCTGACTTTACAGAGGTCTGTGCATTTTCTTGTTACTTTATGGCATTTGGCAAAAAACAAAGTATATTTTCAACTCAAATAAATTAAACCACAATAAAAAAAAAACTGTTAAACTCATTGGCTGACTAAATCTTTATTTACATTTTATTCAATGTTTAAATCTGTTTTATTTTCACATATTAAGCTAAAATTCGTCCACTCTTCAATGTCAAGTCTAAATAAAATTAAACCAGTCCCCAAAAAGAAGTAAAAAATATCATTAACATTTGCGTCCTCGAGAGGGCGCTACTCCGCTATATTTGCACTACCATATCCGCACTGAACGTCCCACTGACGCTAAAAGACAATACGTGCGACCAATCACATATCAAGATCTAATACAGTAATGGCTCTAAGCCAATGGGAGCTTGCGAAAAGATGTTTTTCACTGTATGGGGCGGGCCTTGGTGGATGATGGATACGTCTGCTTTGCGCCCTAGCCAAATCTTCGGTGTGGACTGTAGTTGAGATTTTTGGAGGCTGAGGTAGTGGGACATTCGCTATTTTTTGGAGGAGAACAGAGCGCGAGTCCACATTTGGGAAAGTCTCGTCATACGCATCGTTGGAGAATAACAACAGGTAACGAATAATTTGGCCTCCTTTAAATCACGTGATTTCTACATCAGCTACTGCAGATGATTCATCGCGTTTTGGGGGTATTTTGTACGTAATATATCGGCAGCGTACTTAACCTGCGCAAGTACGTATTGTAACCAGACATAGTTGTTCTAACTAGGCAGAGCAAACACCGCGTTTGTTACTGAAAGGTGTTATTTAGAGTTCTGGTCATACCTTCGCTGTGAGGCGCTTCATGGCGCCTATCTCCTTCCATATTATCCCTGTTATCACCTAAGCTACCTTCATGCCCCTTGCTCCTCGCGCGCGGATGTGTTTAGGTAGTTAGCATTAAAGATTTTGTGAAGCAGGTAAAAACCTGCCTAGCTTACATTGATTAAAAAGTGATTTTCTAAATGAATAGACCGAGTTTCCTTACTCGTGGTAGCTGCATTGGGTTTTAGTTAGGTGAATGCTACCGCTGAGGTAACGGTAACTTTACATTAACGGTTGGTTCGTCTAAACACGCCATGGTGATCGTTGACTGTTCAAACATCCGGCTCCGTTTTTGCGGGACAATACGTGTAGCTCCTTCCTGCCGCTAAGTTAACAAGTAGTATACGGAGATTTAAAAACACCACGCTGTTCAGAGTGAGTATGCAATTAAAATTTCTTTCTGTTTTTTTTTCTCCAGTCATTTGGCTGTGCTGACATGTGCTTTTAAAACCGTTTTCAAATAACTGGTATTTGTTTGATATAGTTTCATGTTCGTGACTGGTTCACAAAGCTGTCTGGGAAACGCAGTCCACGTTGTTTGTTTACTGCATTTCAAAGATAGGTTTTTAACCAGGGGTTTTAAACATAAGGCCCCGGGCCAGAATCGGCGCGGCAACGACTCCAAGCCGGTCGTTTGGACAGCTTTGGAAAATGTGTAGGTGGGGATAAATTTTGAACTTCATCCGGCTAAATACCCTCCTAGTGGTCATTTAAACAACTCTAAAGTACTTAAGTAAAAGATAAACAAAAAAAAATTCACGCTTTTTCACAATCCACTGTGGAATTTTCTTTTTTTATACAAATTATTTAAATTAATTACAGGACACTCTGGACATTGAGTTACCAGTTAACTTTTTGTGCAGTTTTACACATTTATTTCTTACAGTTTAAACTCAAAGAGATGTGTTGAAAGACTTCTTTCATTTACTACATGTAGAAAAACTGAGAGGTACTGTTGAAATTCCACTTTCATTACTTTTATTTTCAATAATCTTATATGGCCCAGTTAATATCAAAGTGACATGTATGTTGCACATGATGTAAAATGAGCTTGACGTCTCTAGTTTAGGCTATGTTGGCTTTACAAAATACAATTGTTGCTCTCATGACCAGGATATTAAAGAAGAAGTGCTATTGGTGTAGTAACATAAATCTGTCTACATGCAGAACAGTACTTGTGTTTCTTATTTGCTTTCTAGACAGCACCGTAGAATCTGTGCTTTGACATATGGGAAGGACATAGCTACTTTACAGACAAATGCAGGCAGAGTCCAGACTAGAAAGAGCCAAGATCGTGCTGACTTGTAAAAACTTGGTGGCAACTAGCAAACGTATCTGTTCATGTCTGTGTGTTCAGTGCCACTGTTAACATTAATGAAGTATGCTGCTTTTCTAGAAGTTATTCTTTAAATGTCTCCTTGTGATCATAAAACACATCCAATATATCCACGGCTATCTGTGTTTGATGTTTCGAAGTACCACAACTTTGAGCAATACACACCGACTAATATTAGGACATCTAGCCATGTACTTGGGTTCCTAAGTGTCACTCTTAAATCTAATCAGACGCCATAGTATGTGATGTCAAGTACCCATGACCTTAATCAGCACCACTCCGCTTGTGGTGTTCTGCTCTCTATGTGAAAGGAAGGTAGGTCAGATAGTAATGAAGGACATCAGGACAGAGATAAAGTCATGGACAGTAGATAGTCCCAGGCTGTGCCCCTAATGCATACACTGGGATCAAAGGCCTAACTATCGTTGTTTCTAAAAGTAAATCAGTTTATTTCCCAGGCTGCAGCAGTTGTTGTTCTTCCATGTAGCTGTGAAGTCTTTTTCATTCAGTGCAAAGATTTTTTGTAGGCTAGAGAAGACTTTGAGGACTTTAGAGCACAGCAGGCCAATTCTGCCCTTTCATAAATATTAGTGTGGTGACATACCACTTTAGATTCTCAGTAGAATCAGGCCTGCCTAGTCAGACATTTCTATAACTATTGATATGCAGATCAATCATTCTTTGTACCTGTTTCCAGCCCCCAAAAAACCCTTGTGCAGGGCAGTATGAGGATCTTTTAATTTCATTCATTTATTTTTTTTTAATTTGGAAAAGGGGACTTGATTATACTTTAACATATTGATACATATCCATGTGGGTTGCGTGCAGAACAACTCATTTGACTTGGCATGCGTGTTTATTCTAATATCATGAACAGAACGTAGATTTTCCAGTAATGTTGTTTCCGTTTGAAAACAAAGAGCTTGTTCAGTCCTCATGCACACAGCTACTGTACGTTAACAAGAAGAGTTTTTGGAGCTACCTATCAGCTGAAGATTTTCTTATGAGACAGCTGTGTTCTTAGATTTAAATGCAGTTTCTGAGCTTCTGTTCTCAAATTAAGAACGGACACCTATACAATTTAATCCAACCTAGTACAACATCAAAAAAGCAACTGAGGAAATAAAATATTATTGTATTTGGTGATACATGTTGTTTTGCTTTGCAGGTGTTTAGGTTATTGTTGTGTAGGAGCACATGTTGCGCACTTAGAGTTTTTAAAGCTTTCATGATTAGGAGCCACAAAGCCACATTTTAATGGGAATGTGCAGTGGAACATATTTTAGTCCACATTCAGTATAAATTTTGGTGCAGACAGGAAGGACAATGTTTTGTAAGCTGTAAAGGGAAGCCCAGAGGCAAGCGTGTCTGTTTCTGGGGTGTGTTTTTTCCTGTCAGGCTCCTCGCTGCGTGTATAGTTTTATCTATAATCATCGGTGCCATGTTCATTGTCAGACTCTCAGGATGTGCAGAACAGTGGCAGCTCTGTCAAACCCACTAATGAGAAGCCTTAATTGGTTGTTCTGGTGGGAGAATCTGCTCATTAGATCTAGCTGGAACTTAACTCTGAGCTTGCTGGAGTGCAGAGTGCAGAAACCTTGCATTTCCTTTGGCTTTTGTTTTTGATTGTGTTTTTTTAGCTGCTTCCGCAACCCTGTGAATATCTGTCTTGTGCATTCTGTGTCAGTTTACACCCCTAAAACCTATTTAACTGACCCACATTGACATCACTTAGTACTAGCCCACTTCAGTTGCATTAGATCTGGTAGCAAATATAATAAAATGTACACATTATCGATCCCCTGCTGTTATCAGTTGCTTGCTAGCACCTCTCTCTAATAAGCAATCTTACTCTTCACTTAGGATGGGTGTACACCAGACTCAGGGGAAGTAAGCACTTTTTAGATAGTCACTACAATAAACTATGGTCCACCACTGTGTATGAGGGCAAGTTGAAAGGTGAAATTAAGGAACACTGACACATGTAGTGAGGAAGTAAGAGTCAAACACGAGGAGAAAGAGGGTGAGAGTGCCAGAGAGAGTGAAAGATATTGCTTAACCATTCGGAAAGGCTATGGGAACATCCATGTGTGTGTGTTTGTGTGTGTATGTGTGTTTTCATCCTGACCCTGTGGGTTCAACGGGAGCAGAACTCGTCACATCAACTCAGACGCACACAGATAATCCTGCTGTCCTTCATCAGTTTGAATGAGTTGTGCCGTGTTGTTTTTATGAAGTAGCATATATTGGGGGGGGGCCTTCACACATCCAGGTGACTGCAATTTTCTTACCCATTTTCCAGTGAATGAAAGTAGTTACTATAACCACAAAGCACACTCTGAGGCTTTCATCTTCTCCATGAGTGTAATGACATTTGGGGCAGTCACAACAGTTATTAAGGTGAACATATTGTACAGTGTGGCAGTCAGCCTCCACAGGCAGGTATTATCCTCTGTAGCTTTCACAGCCAACAGGCACCACAGGACTCCGATTCACACAGAGAAGATCACAGAGGCACGGATGAATGGAAACTGTAATGCAGTGTTCAGCTTATTACCGCCACGGAGACGGTGAGTAGAGCAGTGTGCGGAAGGGGAATGAGGGATGGAGAAGTAAAGGGCGTGTTTGAAGGAGAGGGCAAAAGGTTAAGGCGAAGTAGTTTTTCTGAGGTTCAGCCACCTAAATGTCAAAAACGTCACATTTTCTTTTCTTAAATGCAAGCGTCCCTTGTAGTAGAATAGGACGCCCTTGTGTTGAAGGGCAACATCAGAGAAGAAAAAAGAAAGGGCAAACTGCCTTCCCTGGCAAGTGTCAAGCTCTGAAAGAAATGATAAAATAAAAACAGAAAGAGAGCGTGGGCCTGTGGATCTGGCCCAGAGCCAGACATAGTTAAAAAGAGATTAATCAGCAGAGGGTCACATTCTCAGAGAGAGGCTGAACAGACCAGAGGCAGTGCCTTCATCTTTTGAAAGCCACAGTTTGGGTCACAACACAAGACAGTCTTGGCACTGAGAGTATCAGCTAGAAAAGGCTGGTAATATTATGTTCTTGATACTGATATCATATCTTGCGGCATATCCTCAGGATTGCTTCCTGAAACTTGACAGTTGAAACTTGAAGCTTTTTTCAGGTTAATCTTCTCAGGGATCACTTCCATCATCTGTATTTAGGTCCTCTAAAAATCTATTCAATGAAAAAGTATAAAAGGCAAGCAAAGTAGCATAATGCATGATGACCTAGGGCTGTGTAAATAATCTGAACATGGATTAAAGAGTACTGTTATATTAATCATCAAATGTTCCTTTGTTTATTTCTGTGAGTGCAGCCACACTAACTTGTTCTCATTAGCAGCCACTGACATGCTCTGGAGTTTGTAAAACATTTTGGAAAGAGCGGCTTGAACCCATTGACT